GATGTAAAGAAAATACACTTTTTGTTATTAATTCTAATAATCCAATTTCGACGTCTGATTGATCATTGGGTCCTCAAGCCAATTGGTCTACAAGTCATGTAGAGATGTTGACCCAATCTCTATGGTTAGGTTTGATCAGTCAAACCATTCGTGGGATCCAAAATTATCAAACCCCAAACCTTTATCCAAAATTAAACTTTTTTTCTTTTATCAGGGGCAATTACAAAGGGATAGGGACTTGTCACTGCTTGGAATTTTTTTTTTTTTTAATCTTGTCGTTTATTGGATTTAAACCCAGCAGGGATGAAACTTCACAAAAATGTTAGGAGAAGCTAAAAATTGTTTTGGGGGGCCAATTAATTAAAAAAAAAATTCCTGAAATTGTAGAGCAATTGAAATAAAATGTCCATTAAAAAACTTAAGGGTTTTGAAAATTTATGGAGTCCCTCACTCTCCATTGTTTTTCTTCCTTGAAAGTAAAGGCGTCTTGAAGAGGGTATCAAACTTTAAAGCTTGGTTAATGAACCATTTGAGCCATTAAGGCTGGTTCTTAAGTCAGATTGAACTTGAACGTTTAGCTCTACTCACAAATGCATCCCATTACTCTAGTTTTAACTCTTGAGAACTTAGTTTGGAATCTCATCTCAATCCCCCTAAATTGGCTTTAAAAAAAGAAAAAAAGCCATAGCCAAATTCCTCTATCCCAAACCTAAATACCCAATTTGTGCCTCTAAAAAAAAAGCATACTATAATCTAGTTGAGAAATACTGCAACCATTCAAGCAAATAAAAAAACTAAAAGTATACTATGAATCATATAATACAGAAAAAGAACACAACTACATGGAATACAATAACAATATATATATACAGAAAACTGTTTTACAGGACAAACTGTATGCAGTCCACCCTATAAAATTAATTAAATGCCTTTGAAAAAATAATATAAAAACAAAGTTAAGGGTATTTAAGTAATTTTACAAGACAAACTGCATACAATCCATCTTGTAAAACAGTTTTCTCATATATATATATATAAATAAAAGATGTAACTAGAATTACACTATACTATATAATATAAATTAATAAATGAAGTAGCTGTGAAATTAAGAATTGCTCTTTTTTTTAATTTATTTAATGATTTTTATTTTAGACTCTG